ATTTTTTTTTTTTAATTTTAGTTGTCATTTAATTGTTGTTCTATAATCAGGGAATATCTAGTACACGTGTCATTTAATTTTAAATTTACATTATATTTAGTATATGTGACACCCGAGTAAAAGAGGAATACATGAATGTGTTAGATGAACACGACTCCCCATAATTGTAAGATATTATCTACTATGAACATAAGCTCTGATGATTTTTCTTTGGGCTTCCCAAAAGGCCTCGTACCAATAGAGAGAGTATTCCTTTATTATAAACTCATGATCATTCCTTAAATTAGCCTATACTTTCATCAACACCTCCCCTCGAACAAGTACGCCTCCTTTTAATCGAGACTTGACTCCTTTTATTTTGGAGTCTTAGTCATTTTTTTACTATGCTTTCGAGGAGCCTCGACTCCTTTTTCTTTTGGAGTCCTTTGTTCGACATTTGAGGATTCTATTAACATGGTTAACTTTAGGGCATGACTCTAATATCATGTTGATGAACACGACTCCCCACATATGATATTGTCTACTTTAAACATAAGCTCTCATGACTTTGCTTTGGGCTTCCCAGAAGGCCTCAACCCAACAGAGAGAGTATTTCTTGATTATAAATGCATGATCATTCCCTAAATTAGTCCGGACTTCTAAGAACATGATGACTCAATCCTAGGAACTAATTACAGGTTGGGCTAGGGCTATTAGGTTATGGGTCGGTAGTATTACTCGATAATAATATAATATTACATACTTTCAAACATGAAATTATATCTGCATCGAGACATTAATTGAAAGGACCTCTTTAAAAATGTCAAATATCGGGATATTTTTCGTACTAAAATTATTTTCGCCGTAAAAGTGGGGAAGGAATTGAGGGTAAAAATGGAAAATTGGTTTAGAATTGCAGAAAGGTCCCTAGGGGGTCACTATTTTCTTTTTTAGGTTTGTATTTTAGCCTCTTTTTGACAGAGGTGCAGTTGGCAATGGCTTTTCCTAAGAGATGGATATGGGAAAGAAGCATATTTAGATGATGGGGAGAAAAATGTCATTTTCAACGGGAAGGCCAAATTTCTTGAATTTTACATTAAATTATTTTAATTTTATTTTTGCACCTAAAATACTACGTGTATTATATTAAAATAAAAATAATTTGATTAATGATTGTTTAAAATGTTAATCAGGACCCGGATGCTCATCAGTCGGGTACGGGGCAGCCGAGGAATTGGGTCCTTTCTTTCCTCAGAAAGGAGACGAACCGAAGCTCAAGTTCAACCCGCACACGTGGAATAGAGGTTATTTTATTATTATTTTTAAAATAGCTTTTATTTTGTATTACTAAATAATAATAATAATAATAATAAATCAATTGTATTAATTAAAATTATTTTAATATATTTTTTCTAAGTGAATCAATAATTAATTTCACATTATTTTATTTAAAATAAACTTAAAATATTTTTCATTGATTTAGTGGCAAACTTATTGTTCTTGGAATCACCCGTTGGAGTTGGATTCTCCTATACCAACACTAGCAAAGACATTAGTGAGCTCGGCGACACTGTCACAGGTATAAATCCAATAATTTATTTAACTTTAAATTTATAATATTTTTGAAATTTTAAAATTTGGAATTTAATAAATATTAATCTTATGAACCAAAATTGTAAATTAAAAGTAAATGACTGTATTCTTTTTTTCTTTAGCCAAGGATTCTTACGCATTTCTAATCAACTGGTTCCAGCGATTCCCCCAATTCAAATCCCGTGAGTTTTACATCGCCGGCGAGAGCTACGCAGGTACAGCAAATTGATCACGAATTCGAATTCCTCTTTTTAAATTACTGTTCATCATCATTCTTCTTCCTCAGGCCACTACGTTCCGCAACTTTCAGAGCTGATTTTCGAGGAGAACAAGAAAATCTCGAAGAAAAACCGCATAAACTTCAAAGGCTTCATGGTAGTTCATCTCGTTTTCAGGAAAATTGCTTAAAATTTCTCACTCGGTCTCCATTTTCTAATAGTGTACGTCGACTTGCAGATCGGAAACGCCTTGCTCGACGACGAAACCGATCAGCGCGGGATGATTGAGTACGCTTGGGATCACGCCGTAATCTCTGATCGATTGTACGGAGAAATTGTAAGAAACTGCAATTTCAGCAATACGGTTCCAACAAAGGCCTGCGACATTTCTCTGAGCAAGTATTTCGATGTGTACAATATCATCGACATGTACAGTTTGTACTCTCCAACTTGCGTTGAAACGAATTCGAGCCGCAGCAGCGGAAGAAGGAAGCAGCGATTCGCAATCAACGGCGTTGCGCCTCAGTTATTCGCCAAATATGTGAGTTCTGAACATGATTTTACGCACTTTTTTGGTTCGGATCTGTCGAATCTGGAAATCGATTGCCGATTGGAGATGAATTTGTGCAGGAAGGATGGCATAAGAGGCCGGTAGGATACGATCCTTGTTCGCCGGATTATACTGACAAATATCTGAACAGAGCGGACGTTCAGAAGGCTCTGCACGCCAATATCACCAAGATTCCATATCCTTGGACTCATTGCAAGTATGGATATCGTTTTCACCTTTTTATAGTATTGTTAGTGTTCTTCCCGTTAGTGTTCTTAAATTAGCCGATTTCATTCAACACCTCCTTCGGAACCAAGTAAGTCTTCCCTTAATCAAGGCTCGACTCCTTTTTCTCTTTGGAGTATTAGTCGTTTTTTGAATATACCTTCAAATCTCACAATACTTTTGTTAGACATTTGAAAATTCTATTGAATGGCTAAGTCTAGAGCTAACATGGGTAAGTTTAAAGCACGACTCTTATACCATGTTAGATGAATACTACTCTCTACAATGATATGATATTGTCTACCTTGAGAGCATAAGCTCTCATGAATTTGTTTTGAGTTTCCTAAAAGGTCTAATGCCAATGGAGATAACACTCCTTATTATAAACCCATGATCATTTCCTAGATTAAAAACGTGGGACTTTCATCCAACACTTCCCACTCTGACATTTAAACGTCGCTTATTCAATAATTTCTTTCGTTATTTGCAGCGATAACATCACATTTTGGAAGGATGCACCATCTTCAATACTCCCCGTAATAAAAAAGCTCGTGGCTAGAGGCCTTCGCATATGGGTGTTTAGGTAAATCAAATCTTCAAAACCATTTGAAATTTCAATTAATTTTGATTCTAAATTATAATGATCAAGCGTTTAACGACAGTGGGGATACTGATGGAAGAATTCCAGTGACCTCAACTAGACTCACTTTGAATAAACTTGGTTTAAAGATTAAACAAGATTGGACTCCTTGGTACAGTCGTCAACAGGTACTTTCTTCTTTTAAAGTTATCATTATTAGACATGAAATTTACGACCGAGCAAACTAAGCTAACTCCTATATTTTTATTATCATTTAAAAATATAAATTTTAAGAAATAACGGTACTTACATGTTGAAATACAAATTCTTATTCACCTTATGATAAATTTTAATGTAGTATAAAATTTGAATAACTATACAATATATTATCTATTTTCTTATTTTCAAAAAAAAAAAATTGCATATATTCAGTAAAGTTTTTAATTGGTGTCGGAATACACTTAAAATATTTAAAAAAATGTTTTTTTTTAAATTTAAAATCCTATAATTTGGAAACAATCTTTTTAAAAAACATAATTTCATAATTAAAAAGTAGTTTGAATAATTGAGACACGTGTGGTTTTTTTATTGGATAGGTTGGTGGGTGGACAATTGAGTACGAAGGGTTAACATTTGTAACAGTGAGAGGGGCTGGCCACGAGGTTCCAGCGTTTGCACCAAAGCGAGCCCTTCAGATGATTACTCATTTCATGGCCAATCACAAGCTGCCAACTGTCCCTTTTTAGAAATTTATTTCCTTTTCCTTTTTACTTATTTCTTAAATTTTATGAGTCACAGTCTTTTGTTTTTAATTTAAACTTTAATCCACAAAATGCCGAGGGAGGGCAAATAAATTAAGCTTTTTTTATTTTTATTTTTATTTTTTTATTTTTATGTTCCTTCATAGTTAATTATCTTGTAAATTTGAAAAAAAAAATTATAATTTTATCAATATATCTATTATGTCGTATAAAAATTGGTTAGAATATAAAAGAAAATATGGGAATATGAAATATTTACTTGTTAATTTAAATAATATTATTATTTTTATAAATATATTTTACCGTTCATATTCTTTGAAACATCCATATTTTAATTTAAAAGATTTCAACCGAAAATAATTAGATGAAAATAATGTTTATTGATTGTGAGATCATATATTAGTCAGAAGAAAACATGTTTTAAAACCATTAAGTTTATGACGATCCATAACGGTCAAAGCGGCAGACAATACCTGCTAGCAGTGAACGTGTCTTGTACAAATGGTATCAGAGTCAGACATTTGGTAGTACACTAGCGAGGACGCTGACCCCCAAGGGAGGTGAACTATGAGATCCTACATCCAATTGGAGTGGGGAACAAAACATTTCAAAAGGTGTAGAAACCTCTCCCAGAACAGTTGGATAGAGAAACAAAACATTTTTTTTATAAGGGTTTGGAAACCACCTCTCCAAGAACAACTGGACATTGGATAGGGAAACAAACATTATTTGTAAGGGCATGGAAACCCCCTCCTAACAGACATGTTTAAAACCGTACTTAATAAGTTAAAAAATGGTGAAATATTACTTTTTATTTTTAAATTTTATAAATATTTGAAAGCTACTATTAAAATAGAAATTTATTAGATTATTAAACGGTGAGAATAATCTCAATTTTCATTTAAAATTCTAATAAATTGAATTTTTTTTTCGAGATATTGTTAGAAACAAATGTGAAATGTATTTATTACAAAGAATCAGTCAAATAATTCCACCCAATTTCCATCAAACACAAAACCATTACGCAACGGAACGTTCGGGATCCGTCGCTATTGTCTAAGTCAAATTATTGAAAATTTGATAAATAATTAATAATTTTCTGTTCTTGTCTGATTCTTTGGCAATCCCAATTACTAATTCGATAATCGAAGTTCCATTATTTTCCTGGTCTGCAGAGAAAGGCGAAGCGTCTAAGCATCAAATTCTTCTCACTCTTCGTTTCGCTGGAATCTCCCGGAAACTCGGAGAAGACTGTGACCCATGCCACTTCCCTCTCCTAACTAGAGGTATGAGCACACAAGCAACATTTATCAATTCTTCAATTTAATCGATTTGTGTTCCTTTTCCGCTGATGGATCTGTTTTAGATGTGATTATTTCTTCATTATTCTCTAGAATTACATGTAATTTTGCTCAGAATCTGTCGGTGAGTCGAATTTTCGCCAACACTGTAAGGAGTTCATCCTGTTGTTGAGTTTTGTTTCATTTCGATCATTCTGTTTCTGATAATCTTCTTGTTTTTTGGTTTCTATTTTGGAGATCTATGTTTTTTGTTTATCGAGGTTGTCGGATTTTGGGTTAGGTTAGTAACGTTGAAAATGACTCACAATCTAAATATGTCGAACCAATTACAAATGCTTTTGAGGAGAGGAACCTTGAACACTTATACTTTTCAATTCTCTTTGTTACTGTGAAACTAGCATACATCTCGTAAGTATTTATAGTGGAGAAAGCATAACCGATCTCTTATACTTCTCCTCAAATTTAAGCCACTGACGAATCTGGCTAATTAAAGACTAACAATTTTCGTAAGTCAAACAATTATCCTAAATAATAACTTCTTTTTAAGTAAAGCTTACTCACTTCATTCAAACTTGGGGGAAGTTCATTCAACTGTTTGGGGGAAGTTGTTGCTGAATCGGTGTTCTTTTCTTTGGCTAATCATTGCAGGACAATTTTGTAGACATGGAGGTTCTGTCTTGTAGCTCAGTTCCAAACATTAATGTTCTGTTCTTGAGGTCAAACTGTGCTGGAAAAACCTTGAATCCAAGTTTTGTAAACCTATCTGGTTTAAGAAAACGTGAAATCTTGTGTGTTAGAATCAAAGCTAGAAGAAGATTTTCTCAACCAAAGGTCCTATGTAGTAGCTATGGTGGCTATGTGGTTGATGGAGAAGGAAGTTCGGTAAGCATATCGGAGAGTGGCGGCGAGTCGGCGACGAAAGTTCAAATTCCTGGTTTGCCTGATGAATCTAATGGTGAATCCAGTGCTCAAATCAGTAGTTGTTTTTGGGAATGGAAACCAAAACTTAGTGTTCACTATGAAAAAGCTGGAACTGAATATGTGAACTCTCCACCTGTGCTTTTTCTTCCTGGTTTTGGGGTTGGTTCCTTCCACTATGAGAAGCAACTTAAAGATTTGGGACGTGATTATAGGGTATGGGCCATAGATTTTCTTGGCCAGGGCATGTCATTACCAGTTGAAGATCCCACTTCATCTTCTAAGGAAGGAAATGAATCAAATGGGCAAGATTCTTCTTGGGGTTTTGGAGATGAGACTGAACCATGGGCATCTGAGCTTGTTTACTCTATTGATTTGTGGCAGGATCAAGTTCGCTATTTCATCGAACAGGTACCCAAAATAATAGTTAATTTGTGTTAGAGATATTCATTTGACTTGTGGGTTAGATTCATGTAGCTGAGCCTATACCTGATATATTGCAAACTTCGTGTCAAAACCGTAACAACTCAGGTTCACCATTAGCAAATATTGTCCTCTTTCGGCTTACCCTTTTGGGATTTCCCTAAGGTTTTTAAAACGTGTATGCTAGGGAGAGGTTTCCACACCTTTATAAAGAATGCTTCGTTCTTCTCTCTAACCGATGTGAGATCTCTTAATTCACCCCCTTTGGGGTTTAGCGTCCTTATTGACACTCGTTCCCTTCCCCCACACTCACAAAAACAATCTAGTTACACTTTACACTAATTTACAAGTCAAACAAGGGCTACCGAACATATTTTTAGGCTTTTGTGAGATCTCATATTAGTCGGAGACGAGAACAAAACATTCCTTATAAGGGTGTGGAAACCTCTCCCTAGTAGACGTGTTTTAAAACCGTGAAGCTGATGACAATATGTAACGAACCAGAGCGGACAATATCTGCAAGCAGTGAGCTTGGGCCGTTGCATACATTCTACTACACAAACAGATTTTCCAACTTTAGGCTATACAAACTAATCCGTAAAAGAAGCATCTCTTCTCATTGTGACTGCTTAAAAGCTGACATTGAAAATCATATTGATATCCCAAATGATCATTGCAGGTCATTGGTGAGCCAGTCTACATTGTGGGCAATTCCCTTGGAGGGTTTGTGGCATTATACTTTGCAGCCTGCAATCCTGAACTAGTAAAGGGTGTTACGTTGCTAAATGCAACACCATTCTGGGGATTCTTTCCTAATCCTATAAGATCACCAAGATTAGCCAAAATATTCCCTTGGAGTGGAAAGTTTCCATTACCAGACAGTGTGAGAAAGCTCACAAAATTCGTGTAAGTTCATGAATCATTCAATGAACTGTTGAATATCTTTAAATCTGTTCTCTTCACACTCTGTTCGATATCAGTTGGCAGAAAATAAGTGACCCCGAGAGCATCGGAGACATCCTCAGGCAAGTCTACGCAGATCACACGACGAATGTCGACAACGTGTTTTGTCGTATCGTGGAAACAACACAGCATCCAGCTGCAGCTGCATCTTTTGCATCAATTATGTTTGCTCCTCAGGGAAAGCTATCATTTTGGGAAGCTTTATCAAGGTGGAACATAATTTTGATATTAAGATTCAAATTCTTTACCTGTCCTGTTTTGGCTTAGATTTGTTTGTTTGTTTGTTTTGCTTAGATGCCATACGAATTCAGTGCCAGTTTGTCTGATATATGGAAAAGAAGACCCGTGGGTGAAACCTGTTTGGGGGCTTCAGGTGAAAAGGCGAATGCCTGAGGCTCCATATTATGAGATTAGCCCTGCTGGCCATTGTCCCCATGATGAAGTCCCTGAGGTATACTTCTTTCTTAAATGCATGTGAGAAGTTTACAGGAGAAATACAAAAAAACCGCAACCGAATCCAACCCGTAAAAGAAAACGCTCTAGGGAAAGGGCATTTGGTAACTAAAGAATGAGGATCGCCTTTGCCTTGTATCTTCTTTTGTTGTTGTCGGTGGGTGTCCTTAACTCGAAGTTTCTATTGGGACGAATTCATATAAAGACTCCGAAAACTAAAATAGAGCTTTGTAACCGCCCCCGCACAAGCCCACTAATTGCCAGTAGATATTGTCATTTATATGAAGAGTATGAAAACCAATATAGAACTTTGTAATAGCTCAAGCTCACTACTAGTCGATATTGTCCATTTTGGTTTGTTACAAGTCGCCGTTAGCCTCACGGTTTTAAAACGCGTCTACTAGGGAGAGGTTTCCACACCCTTATAGGTGAATGAAGGTTTCCACACTCTTATAAGGAATGCTTCATTCTCCCTCCATTCAAGGTAGGATCTCACAATCCACTCTCATCGCGGTCCAACGTCTTCACTGGCACACCACCCAGTGTTTGGTTCTGATATCATTCGCAACAGCCCAAGCTCACTACTAATAGATATTGTCCGCTTTGGCTCATTAGGTATCGCCGTCAACCTCACGGTTTTAAAAGTGTAGGTTAGAGAGGGTTTTTCACACCTTTATAAGGAATATTTTGTTTCTTCTTCAACCGATGTGGGATCTCTTACAAGCATAGCTTGCTTATTCCTCGAACGAGCTCCATACTAGTTGCTTCCAAATATAAGATGCTTATGTTTGAGATATTCAGTCATCTATAAGAAAAGAACCGATCTTAGAACAATACCAACGTTACTCGACATAAGACCTTAGCTGATTTTTGATCAAGGAGATCATCTGATGAATTTGTGGGTTTGGGAGATTTTAGTTTGAAGAACACTGAAAGAATGGTTTGTTATTACAGGTTGTGAACTTCTTACTACGTGGGTGGATAAAGAACCTAGAGACAGAAGGCTCAGTGGCGTTGCCTCTGGTGGGGGAACCAGACAGCATTGGAGACGGCAACGTTGTGAAGGATTTGGAATTTGCACGAGAAGGATCAAAGAAGTCTGTGTCTGTCCGATTGTACGGATCCACTTCTTCGGTTTTGGAACGGATAACCTCTTTATTCAAAACTGCAACAGTCAAAGCTTAACAACTAGAAAGAATGTTTGTTTTTGGTGCTTGTTTTTAAGCTTTGCCTTGCGTTGTAAGAAACCCAAAACAAACTCCTTTTTCCCATTTTGTACAGAAAAGCTTAGAAAAGAAAGAGATTGGAAATATGATTACCTCAGAGTTAGCCCACACCTCTACATTTGTACGATATTATACATTTTGAGCATAAATTTTCATCAGGCTTTAATTTGGACTACCAAAAAAATCTGTACCATAATAATAGAGAGAGTATTATTTAATTATAAATCTATTATCATTCCTTCCATGAAAGCCTTTTATCTTTAAACAGCTTGAATAGAAAACACCCCTATTTGTTCACTCATTTCTATTTAGTTCTATAAAAATAGAAAATCATAGATGATATATAACACGGAAAATCTTTCTATCAAGATAAGTAAATGTATCCGAATGAAAAAAATTATGCTAGAATTGAATCGAATTAAGACTACAAACTGTTATGATTGTAAGATTAGAGATGAAATCGTGAATGAGATATAACACGAAAACCTTTTGATCCTTTTTGATTCAAAATAGGAAGGTGAATGTTTAAATAAAATATTCATACTAAAAAGTTTCGAACTGTATCAATATATAACACACAAAATCTTCGATTATTTATAAATTATAAATTAGAGAGTAAAAATAATCCAATAATAAGACTCTTTATAAAATAAAGAAATCTTCGATTATTTATAAATTATAAATTAGAGAGTAAAAATAATCCAATACTTTATAAAATAAAGAAATCTTCGATTATTTATAAATTATAAATTAGAGAGTAAAAATAATCCAATAATAAGACTCTTTATAAAATAATCGATTATTTATAAATTATAAATTAGAGAGTAAAAATAATCCAATAATAAGACTCTTTATAAAATAACAAAATCTTCGATTATTTATAAATTATAAATTAGAGAGTAAAAATAATCCAATAATAAGACTCTTTATAAAATAAAGAAATCTTGGATTATTTATAAATTATAAATTAGAGAGTAAAAATAATCCAATAATAAGACTCTTATAATCCAATAATAAGACTCTTTATAAAATAAAGACAACTTATTAATTTTTTAAAATTCTAAACATTAAAAACTTAGTTTTATTTTAAAAAATTGATTAAAAATTCAAAATTAACAAAAAAAAAAAAAAAAAAAAAAAAAAAAAAAAAAAAAAAAAAAAA